GTTGAAGTCCACAAGTCTTAAAACTTGCCAAGTTTGAAGAGCCTTGCGCTAGAGTCTCAAGTGTTTCTCCACCTTGCCAAGTTTAAGATGGACCTCGGCTCCCAGAATTCCCCTGAGATACTTCTTGAGAAGGTTTGAGGTGGAGAAAGACTGCCGTAAGGCTTTAAAGCAAGGGCCTTCAAACTTGACAGCTTGAAGACTTGTGGGCTTCAACTCCCAGAATTCCTCCTCCAGTCATGTTAGCTCAGGAATTCTGGGAGTTGAAGTCCATAAACCTTAAAACTTGCCAAGTGTGAAGACCCTTGCACTAGACTAATCTTCTACCCAACACTACCCTTTGGGGTTGACTACATAGCCTTCCCTGTTGCTGTGGCTCATTTGCTCCAGGAGAAGACACCACGGTAGGTGGTGCTCACCAGAGGTTCACAATGGATCGTGGTGTTGCCTGGTTCTGCTTGTTCTCCTTAGCTTCTGGGCATCAGCTCCAAGCTGGGAAGCCAAGAAAGGGACCGGGGATCGGAAGGTTCCCCTACCAAGGTTGCTATTTTATGACCGAGGACCTCCAGAGATGAAGACCCAAATAAGCCCCAATCCACAGCAAAGGGGACGCGCGAAGGGAAGTGGGAAAGGAACGGCGAGAAAGCATCTTGGTTAGTCAATCATCACTGGAAGGGGCTGGAGAAGGAACAAGAGGAGAGGAGGGCCTTCCTTTCTCCACCTTCTGGGGATTTGTCCCTCAACGGTCACCGGTTGGAGGCATGTTGCTGGGTACAGCTCTGCTCACAAGCCTGTAAGAGGAGAAAAAGGTCCATGGTGGTTTTAGGCTGTTTTCTTTCGGTCTTTGCACCTATTTTATTTATTTATTTCAATCTAAAAAAGTACACCGAAGCTCATCCGGAATCGAAGGCTCAATCAAGACTCCACCCACCCCCAATAACGAAGTCAAATCACCCTGGGCTGTTTTTTTTTTTTTGCAAACTCGCCCAAAACTGGAGAGGTCCACGTAACCCCCTCCAGGCGACATAGCTCAAAGGGGTGGCCTTCAAAAATTTTAGCAACAGGTTCTCTGCCTGGTTGCTGGGTGGGTGTGGCCATAGTGAGCGTGGCTTAGTCGGCCTCCTGCACCACGGTGAGGGGGGGGCGTGTTTGCATCCTCCCCGGACTCCTGAGGCTCTCTGGAAGCCAAGAACAGGCCCATTTCCGGCCTTCCCGAACATCTGGGTGGCCCGTTTTTCATCCTCCCAAGCCTCCACGTGCGCCCTGCACTTACTTGCATCTAAAACGGGGCCGAGTGGGGACTCCTGGGAGGGGAGGGGTGGGTTGGGTGGGGCGGGGCCAGCCAGGAGTAGGATTTGGGGGGTTGTCTGAACTGCACCGAATCGTAGCTAGGGGATCTCCTGAACCCCCTTGAGCCCCCAGCAGCCCACCCCTGTCGAAGACCCCAGCCTCACAGTTTAGCCCCTTGTTTTCACAACGGAGGGAAGAGGGTCTCGCCTCTTTTGCCGCCGCCCCTCCCCCCCCCAGCCAAAGGAATTTCGAGCCCCCTTTCTTGGGGCCGACGTCTTGGATGTTCACACCCAGCCTCGGCTCAACGGTACCCCCCGTTTTTCCAAGGCTGGGACCCCAACTGTGCAAGGCTTAGGGTGGGGCGGTGGGGGAATCCGATCTTGCCTGCGGCCTCCTGTTTTGGTTCTCTCTCTCTCTCTCTCTCTCCCGGCCACCTCCCCGATCCTGTCAGTGCCCAGCTGCAGGAACAAGGCGCACATGTTGCTATGCGCGGCTTAGCAACATGCAAGATACATTCACCAACGATAATGAAATTATCGCGGGGAGACAATGCGGTGACACCGGAGGAGGCAGGGGCCACAGCGATCACTTTCTTTGCCAGCCGGGAACAAAAGAAGCACCTCATTGTGTGGGTAAACATAGGACAATATTCTTCCTCTTCCCCCCCACCCTCCCCATCACACACACACACACACTCTCACACTCACACCCCTGCCTGGCCCACAGCCCCCCCTCTTTCCCAGGGTGCTCACCTCCCCGCATAATGGAACGTCAGCAATATCAGGAGATCATACCTCCATAAAGCCAGCCAGAAACCCATTGGGGAGGGGGCTGCTGGGGAGATAGAAACATGTGGCCTCTTGTCAAATGAATGGGGTCCAGAGGTTTTTCAGTGAGGAGGGGGCCGGCGAAGCAAGAGAACAGCCCTTTCCCTCTCTCTTTTCTTCTTCTTTCCATCAGCACTTTGTGCCGTGTTTAATAGCAACATTGTTCTCTTTCTATCGGTGAATGCAAATTTGCGGTTCAAAAAAAAAACCCCACAATAATAGAAATCCGGTCCCGCCACAGTGGCTGGCCTGATCAGGAGATGTGGGTGGGTGGGTTCTCCCCCTGTCTTTGCAAAAGTTGGATATCTTTTTAAAAAAAAAATTATTGTCACAACTTTCTCGACAATTATACTGCAGGGTGCCTCTCGACTTACAATCATTTAGAGGCTGTACGGACTCACAACGGCACTGAAAGCAGCGACTTGTGCAACCGTTTCTCGCTCTCACAGCTTCCCCGGGATCACGTCATCAAGGTCCAGACATTTGGCAACTGGCTCATACTTGCAGAGTCCCCCTTTTGCGACCTCGTGGCAAACGAAGCCAACGGGGAGGCTAGATTTGCTTAACAGCCGGGTTACTATACCGAACGGCCGCGGCGATTGACTTAACAACGATGGCAAGCAGGCTCACAAAATGGTGCACAACTTGCTTAGGGAACGTCTCGCTCAGCAGTGGGAATTTTGGGGTTCGGTTGTGGTCTTAAGTCGAGAACTCACTCAGGTCTGCCCAAGGTATGAATTCTGAGCATGATGAGGCTCTTTGATAGTGGCATTCGAGACACGGTGAATACGCTTGCAAAAATTGGAAATGGATTGGTGATTTCCACTGCAGGGGCTGGCCCAACCTGCGGGGTATTTTTCACCTTTGCAAAAGTTTGACATTATTATGATCTCTTTTATTCATTAAACATGAAACTCAGCTGACTGAGCATTTAAAAATGTATCACAAATATCACTGACTGGCGCTGATGGCTGATAAGGGGTTGATGCCCGCATCCTAGGTATCAACCAAGTATCTTCTTAAAATGTACGATGTTGTGAGTAGCACAGGTTTTTTTTTTGCAGTTCTGCTGATGTTATTGCAGGAGGCTGCAATTTCTTGATGTGTTTTATAAAATTCTTGGAGATGGTAGCAAGTGCCCCAAGGGCAATGAATATCACTGTTACATGTTTTATCCACAATTGCGTCATTTTGATGGATTATTATTAATATTAATAATTAATATTATTTAATTATTATTATTATTATTCGCACAGTCAGCCAGATGTTCAGACTGGGTGTGACATTTTTGTCTACCTATCGAGTCCTTACCAAGGACCTGGGATAGGCAAATCTGGATGTTTGATGGTGTCATAGAGATCGCCGCCGGATGGAAGCTGTTCCAAGCAAAGCTGCCTTCTGCAATTGACGGATGGCAAATTTGTCAATGCCACTGATGGTGTTCCAGGGGTGCCCCAGTTGTTTCGGGACTGCACCCAAAGCACCTTTTACCATTGGTTGCCTTTTACCCTTGCTTGCCTTTGCCATAGTCGTTCTATTTCTATTTGTCGGTCTTTGCGTTTTTTCTCTTCTCTTCCGCTGTCTCCACGCACTTCCCCATCCACTCTCCAGCCTTTTTTGTCTTTCTTATCGACAACTGTTAAATCCAGGGTGTTATGTGGCAGGTGCCTATCTGTCTGGATTCTGAAGTCCCAGAGCAATTGAACTTTTTCATTTTCTATAAACCTTTTCTGTTTTATGGTCCCACCAGTTCTTGCTTACGGACAAATGATATTTCTTGCAGATCTTCCATTGCACCGTTGTTGCTACTTGGTCACGCCGCCGCTTGTAGTCAGTTTGTGCAAACTTCTTGCAGCAGCTCACCAAGTGTCCACTGTTTGTTCAGCTTCTTTGCATAGGCAGCACTTACAGTCTGTTCCTGTCTTCTCAATTCTGGCTTTGTATACTTTTGTGCGCAGCCAGAATTAATCCCTCGGTCTCTTTCTTTAACTTCCCTGCTCTGAGCCATTCCCCGGTCTTCTTATTACCTGCTTACCCTTCTATTTTGTTAATGTGCTGGCCATGTAGTGCTTTGTCTTCCCATGCCTCTGTTCTCTTCTTCATTTGGTGGCCTTCTTCTCCTTCTCCCCCTCCTCCTCCTCCTCTTCCTCCTCCTCCTCTTCTTTTCTTCTTCTTTTCCTCCTCCTCCTCTTCTTCTTTTCTTCTCCTCCTCTTCTTCCTCTTCTTTTC